CAGCTGCCTAATTCAAAGCAGCCCCTTGGCAACACATCCCAACACGCGCTTATCACCTCCCTGGAAGATTGCGAACCCTCTTCTCCCGCGACCAAGGGAGCTGGAGGGCAGAGGAGGGAAACAAGCAAGAGGATGCAATTGGTCACGCTCTTCATTCCCATCAAAGCAGGGAGTAAAGCCAAACTCTGCGTGTGCATCCCCAGAAACGGAATTCTCACAGGGTGCCAGGAATCAACCCCTTGATTCAGTCCACGCTCCTCCGGGATGCTTGCTCAACGCTAACTCGTGGTGCTTTAGGGAGGAGAAAACCCAACACTCCTCTCCCGCTGTGCCCGAGCTCACGTCCCGCCCGCAGGCACTCGCTAACACAGGGACAGGTTCTCGCACGCTCTTACACCCACCCAGGCTGGGCGCCCTACCCTGCGCTTACTCCCAAACAGCTCTCGCGTACACGGGCGTAACGCGCTCACTCTCCAGCACACCCTCCGCAGCCTCTCGCGGCACACGCTCCCCCGCGCACACAGAGGCACACGCACCCCATTAAAAACAGCCGAAAGAAAGAGCTGAGAGTGACATTAGATGTGCTCGTCCAGAATCTGGTACATGGGATGCACATACCTCTGCCATCAGCTGTTATCCCAATGCCGCTGCTGCAGAGAGCCTGGAATTCAGCTGTGTAGAAAGCACAACAGAGCCATTAGCTTTTCTAGACAGTTCACGCGCGGTGACGTTAATTCTGGGTAACGTTGGATTTATTGTTTGTTTGTTAGAATGTCATCTGTGGGCTTCCAAGCAGTGTCTGTTTATACTCGTGCAGGGTGTATTTTAGAGCTGATACTCGCAGTTTGTGGTCCAACACTGTGAGAATCCCTGCAATGAGATCAGCATCGGATTTGTGGATCCATCCTAAATTTGCTGACTGCACGGCATCCCTTTCCCCCTGCCTATGGCTGCCACGTCACTGCCAAGCTGCCTACGCCATCTCAAGGACCTGTCGGGGACCCAGAACTTCTCTGAGCACCTTCTTGGCTTTTTGCAAACTCAGATGGAAGAGGAGCTCACCGGAGTTTTTGGCCGGACAGGGTTGGCAGGGTTCTCCGAAGCCATGGTCTGGGTTAGCACAACAGCACTCGGACTTGGTGACCGCTCCCGGAAAGGGACGAGCGCACGTGCCCTTTTTAATGCCTCCGTAGCAGGTGCTGCGCATGTGGGTGTCCACACAGACGCGTCCATCCACCCCGATAGCCAGGCCCCCGAGGCACTCGCAGCGGAAGGAGCCCTCTGTGTTAATGCACCAGCCGTTCATGCAGATTCCCGGCGTCTCGCACTCGTCGATGTCTGAAAGAAAAAGCGCAAATTGGCTCTTACCTACCCACAGGCAGCAGGACACACAGACGGGGGCTTTGGACTATTTTGCAGGGAAACTTGGAAACTAAGAAGGAGCCAGAGGGGCAGTTTAGAGCGTCACATCCCCTGCATGCTCCGCTGGCTGTCCCTGATGGTTCAAGGGAAGGAACGGGGACCTGGGCTTCTTCGGCCTCCTGAGACACAGCCCCTTCTCGGAGGAGCAGGGTCTGGTCTCTGCTCTGTTAATGGGGCAGTGACCCAGAGAATTTACCCAGTGTCACAGCAGCAAATCAAAAAAATGCTATGTTCTCCTCCTCCTCCTTTCGCCATTCTGCCTTCACATCATTACCTTCCTGGCTTTGGGAGGTGGCACTCAAACGGTAGTGCTGTAGAGGCTGGGGAAGCTGGGGAGATGACTGCTGCCAGCTCACGTTGGCCATACAGAGCTTCACAGCCCTGCATAACCTCCTTCAGAAACAGAATTTAAGCTCCAATTTGTGCTGAAGTAGCGGAGGGGAAAGAACATTTTCCCTTGTGCCCGTTCTGCTGCAAGGTGGTAATTTCTGGTGGCAGAGCAGGAGATGCCTGGCAACAGCCTCGGTTTTTCTCAGCTCCCCTTGGAGCTCAGAGACACGGCAAGTCCCCGGGAACGTGGACGGCAGGCTGGGAAGAGGGCAGGGACCGAGCCCGGGGACCTACGCACCGACACAGTACCGCCCGTTGGGAGCCAGCACAAAACCGGGCTTGCAGATGCATTTGAAGCTGCCGTCCTCGTTGATACACATCCCGTTGAGGCACATGTTGGTCGTGGCACATTCATCATGATCTGGGGAAGACAAATAGAAAAGATGAGCTGAGCCCGAGAGCTGCAGCAAGACTCTCCCGTGCTCAAAGACTCTCTGTCCCCCATTTCTCGGTCAAATTGCTTCTTAGGGCAGCGGGTGCTAATCCTCAAGGCAAAGTTCCCACTGCTTCTCCTGGTGCGACCCGTTCTGCTATGTCCCTGCCACTCTCCCGGTCAGCTGGTGCAGCTCGCAGCAATTCTCAGACACCGGCTGCTGGAGAATGTCCTGCTTCCAGCCCTGCTTGTGTTCCTGGACCCCAAAACCTACAGCAGCTCTTCAGAAGCACCAGCACCCTTATAAAACCACCTTCCTATTTCAGTCCTCTCCACAGTGGGGTCGAGTGCACCCTCAGCAAGTTTGCCGATGATACCAAGCTGAGTGGTGAGGTAGACACGCTGGAGGGGAGGGATGCCATCCAGAGGGACCTGGACAGGCTGGAGAGGTGAGCCCATGCCAACCTCATGAAGTTCAACAAGGCCAAGTGCAAGGTCCTACACCTGGGTCAGGTCAATCCCAAGCACAACTCCAGGCTGGGTGGAGAATGACTGGAGAGCAGCCCTGAGGAGATGGACCTGGAGATGCTGATTGATGAGAAGCTCCCCAGGAGCCCGCAATGCGCAATCACAGCCCACAAAGCCAACCGTCTCCTGGGCTGCATCAGAAGAAGTGTGGCCAGCAGGTCAAGGGAGAGGCTTCTGCCCCTCTGCTCTGCTCTGGTGAGGCCCCACCTGGAGTACTGCATCCAGCTCTGGAGTCCCCAACATCAGAAGGACATGGACCTGTTGGAGCGGGGCCAGAGGAGGCCCCGGAGGTGCTGGGAGGGCTGGAGCCCCTCTGCTGGGAGGACAGGCTGGGGGAGTTGGGGTCGTTCAGCCTGGAGAAGAGAAGGCTCTGGGGAGACCTGAGAGCCCCTTCCAGTGCCTAAAGGGGCTCCAGGAGAGGTGGAGAAGCACTTCTTACAAGGGCATGTAGTGATAGGACGAGGGGGAATGGCTTCAAACTGGAAGATTTAGATGAGATCTGAGGAAGCAATTCTTGGCTGTGCGGGCGGTGAGCCCCTGGGGCAGGTTGCCCTGAGAAGCTGTGGCTGCCCCATCCCTGGAGGTGTTCAAGGCCAGGTTGGACGGGGCTTGGAGCAACCTGGGCTGGGGGGAGGTGTCCCTGCCCAGGGCAGGGGGGTTGGAACGCGATGATCTTCAACATCTCTTCCAACCTAAACCATTCTATGAGTCTATGATTTTAAGATGTACTCTGCCCTAGAGATGAAGGGAGTACAGCCCCAGATTAAAGTAACCACCAATCCCCGGGGATCAGCCCAGTCCCAACCTCCCCACGGCACATCAGGAAACCACTCACCAACGCAGTTCTTGCCATCAGGGGTGATTTCAAAGCCAGCGTTGCAGATACACTGGAAGCTGCCATCGGTGTTGACACAGCGGCCGTTCCTACACATCACTCCGTTCATGATGCACTCATCAATATCTGGCAGGGAAATAAACATAAGAAAAGTAGCAGCAGGTGGAGCGAGAAGCAGTTGCAGCTTAATCTGCTCCAAGAGAAAACGCAGCAAGCGCTCTCAGACAGTGAGAAAGTGCCCTGCTCCGGGATCACACTCTTCCCCTCTGTACAAACCACAGGAGATGGAAAAGATGTGGAAAAAGCTTTCTGCGTGCTCTGGAAGCTGTAAGACATTTGGGAGGTTACAGCTCTGGGATCTCAGGCCCTCCATGATGTCTTTGTCAAATTCCTGCCCCAGGGCCCCCTTTGCAACTCAAACTATCCTAGGGTTGTTTGAGCCCACAGTAGACAGCAAAAGCCCTCAGACCACCAGCCATGCACTCAGGCGCCCCACAGCGATGTGGTCCCAGTGCCTCAGCAAAACGAAGTCCAGGACAGAAGTTGGGGCACAATGTGTGTGAAGTACGGCAGCAATGGAGGTGCTGCGTTGCACATCAAGAACGTGATGTCCACTCACTCTGGGAGACAAAATGAGCCATGGAATGCCTCTGGGTAAAGACCAAAGAAGAAAGGAAGAGGACTATCTCCGACAGGGGGTTATACTGGACCCTTTGTCAAGCACTGGGGAACATAGGACGACCTATTTTATGAGCAAATTACAGAAACCAAATACTCTGTCCCCAGCAGCAACAGACAATCCAGACAGTTTGTAGACTTCCCCTAACGTGAAGATAGCTTGAGAGCAGCCTGGCAGAAAAAGGTCTGAATCACAGATGAAACGGGGTGGCCCTGCACAGAAGGAAACCTCCTTTTGGGCTGTATCAACAGAAGAGCTGTGTGCGAGGCACATGGGACAGTTTCTTGTCCTGACAGCTAGAGAGGCCACAGCTGAAGAATGACATCCCATTTTTGGCACCACACATTAGAAAAGATAAAGACAAAATGGAGGAAGTTGAGAAGATAAAACACAGGACAATGAGAACCTTAGAAACATTATCAATGGGAGGAGATCGAGAGACTTGCAGTTGTTTAGTCTAGAAGGGAGATGACAGGGGGGGTTACAAGTTGCAGTTTCCCAACACGTAAAAAATGTTGTAAAGGAGACAGCAATGAACCAATTTTCACAGCCAGAAAGAGAACCGCAAGAAAATTCAGCTTAAAAGATTTAGTTTGGAAATTAGGAAAGCCTTTCACATCGTCAGGCAATTGGAGGGTGTCCTTTAGAAACCCCTTCATCACACTCAACAGAAAAATAAAAACAATCAAAGGTCAGGCACTGACAGGGAAATCTGCCTCTGCTTCTTGTTCACATGGGACGTTTCCTTCCCGTCACTCTTTTTTAGCAGTCCCTCACCCAGAGCACCATCTTGCTGCAAGACACTGACAGAACAACTTCGCTAGAAATCACAATCCCCACATTGATCCAAACATTCCCCCAAATCCTATCTTTTGTCAGAACAAAATGTTGTCATCTTTAAATCGACTTCTGCTCTTGAAAAGGACTCTTTAGGTTCCTTGATTGCCGCTAGCCCATTTGAAGGTAGATAAAGGTAGAAGAACCTTCTCCTAGACAGATTTCGGGACACTGCTGGCAGCTCAACTGAGTTGTTCTGAAATCCCATCACGCACCTGGCTGGGAGGTTGTTTGGTGCTGGGAACTCCTCGCTCCGTTTCCCCTTTAAAACCATTTTCCTTTGGTACGTAGGTCTCTGATAACCCCGCCGACACTCTCGCAGCACGCTGCGTCCTCCCAAAAGGAGGGAGAGAGAAAATACTCACCGATGCAAGCCTGCTTTGTGGGGGTGCTCTGGAAGCCTTCGTGGCACTTGCAGTGGTAGGAGCCAGGTGTGTTCACGCAGTCGCCGTGCACGCAGGGGCTGCTGGAGCACTCATCCACGTCTGCAAGAAGAAAAACCTAAACCCGTGAGTCACCATTACAGACAGCAAGCTACCAGGAGAGGCAACAAAGGCTGCATCCCGTGAGCTTGACACCGCTCATTACAGGTTTCCACTTGGACACTGAGCCATTGACTGTCACTCTTTGGATGCAGTCCTCCAGCCAATTCCTTATCCTTCCAACAGTCCATCCACCAAACCTGCGTCACTCCAACTCAGAGGCAAGAACGTTGTGGGGAACTATATCAAAGACCTTACAGAAGTCCACGGAGATGACGTCTGTAGCTCATCTCCTTTTCACTGACACAGTCACTGTGTCGTCAAAGGCCACTACGTTAATTCAGGCACAATGTGCCCTCGGAGAAGCCATGCTGGCTGTCTCTAATCACCTCCATCTTCCACAAATTTCATATCTTCCCTTCTGAGCAGTTTACAGCCATCGATTGCAGCACTCCAGTCGTGTGATTAGCCCCACCACACTTCAGTGTAGCTTTCCAGCTGCACGGTGGCTTCCAGCGCCTCCTGTTTGTTCCCCATGCTGCCTGCATTGGCACAGAGGCACTTCAGCTGGGCTCTCAACCCTCTCAGCTTTTCAGAGGAACACACCCTCATTCCTCTCAGGCACTTCACAGGTGTTTGCCTGTTGGTTCCTAACACATCAGCAGCCCTTGGCTCTTCACTGTTGCTCAAAAGTCCATCCCCTTCTCCCACTAAATCTAGTTTAAAGCTCTCCTTATAAGTCTGGCCACCTTTTGGCAAAGACCTTCTTGCTCCACTTGATCGGGTGAATCCCATCAGCTCCCAACAGACCCAGCAGGTAGATCCATGATCACAGAAGCCAAAACCTTGTGTATAGCACCAGGCACGCAGCCAGGCATTCACCTGTTCAAATGCTCTCCTCCTTCCCGAACCCCTTCCTCGCACTGGGAGGATGGAGGAGAGCACCACCTGTGCCTTCTAACATTGTTCTTAGTGACATATAGTCTCTTTTGGTGGTTCTAAGTTGCCTTGTCACAGTATCACTAGACCCTCCATGGAACAGTGGGAGTGGATGATAATCTGGAGGGTTCACCAGTCTCGGGAGCCTCTCAGTGATGCTGCAAATGTGAGGTCCTGGTAGGCAGCAAACTTCTCTGGAGAAATCTGGTGAGACCTTATAGTGCTCTTCCAGTACCTAAGGGGGGGCCTACAGGAGAGCTGGGGAGGGACTTTTTACAAGGGCATGGAGTGATAGGACGAGGGGGAATGGCTTCAAACTGGAAGAGGGGAGATTTAGATGAGATAGGAGGAAGAACTTCTCTCCTGTGAGGGTGGTGAGCCCCTGGGGCAGGGTGCCCCGAGAAGCTGTGGCTGCCCCATCCCTGGAGGTGTTCAAGGCCAGGTTGGACGGGGCTTGGAGCAACCTGGGCTGGTGGGAGGTGTCCCTGCCTATGGCAGGGGGGGGGAACTTGATCACCTTCAAGGTCCCTTCCAACCCAAACCATTCTATGGTTCTGTAATTCTATGAAATTGGCTGGATGGCAGTTGGGTGCTTCGGTCCCCTCAGTAAGGAATCTGCAATTACTGATACTTTGTGTGTTTTTCTGGTGGCACTGGTTCTAATGCACCTTGGGGGCTGGATCGAGGTTGCATGGTTGGCTTTTCCTGGATCTTGCCTGTTACTCACGTGCTGTTCGTTCTCCAAACCCAGAGCGTTGTCTCTCTTATGGAGGGGCACTTCAGAGGAAGGTTTTTCCTCCTGCCCTGAGCAGAGATAAGGGTCCAATCTCCTTCATCTTCTGAGTTACTTGTGTCAGTCAGCTCAAGGACGAATACCTCCCCCTTGCACAGCCTTAAGGTAGGGCTGTCACTCAGCCTGGGACAGCACACAATACCACATACTAATCTCTGACGTTCCTGGATACTGTGCTGCCTTTTGAGCTCCTTTTCTACTTGTTTGAAGAGTTCTTCTAGCTGGGCATACTTCCAGCTATGACATCCACCACTGCCTTCAGGGGCTAGGGGGACTTCCAGGTGCTGGATCTCCGTGCAACCTAAGGTCTGGACAGTTATTTCAGCCCTTGGGAGGTCTGCTTGGGTGGAGCTGTCAGCATAGGAAGGCTGTTCTTTGCAGATGCAGTTGGGGGGGACACCGCAGCAGGACACAGTCTCCTTAGAGTTCTCAGAAAAAATAGCCCGCTTACTTATCAAGTGGCAATTCTTTTGAAAGATGCCACCCTTCTCATTCTAATTCCTTGGGGACCTCAAGCTTCTGAGTAGGTTTGCACAGCCACCAGCTAGCTGGGGTGACCTTCGGGGCTGCAGCCTACGCCTGCGGGGTAAGGAGAACCCACAGCAGCCCGATAACTGGCAGAGTGTCCTGCCCAGGGGACGGTTCTGTGGGGCTGCCCACGGTGTGAACTGGCCACCGCTAAGGCAATGGCAATGTTGTGGCTACCAGAGTTGTCCCCCTGGGTGTTCCTTGTGGGCTAGACATATCCTTCTCACCACGCTGCTTCGTTACCGGACACAAGCCCTCTGTCTGCAGCCTCTTGTGAGGAGCTCTGACTGGGACGGGGGCTGTCGGGGCAGCAGCTCGAGGTGCTGTTAGGAGCTGGCGTGGGGCACAGTGGGAGCTGACCCACGTGTGCGTCAAGCAGAGCCTACTCACCGATGCACTCGCCACGCACGTCCTGCTTGTAGCCCATGTTGCACTCGCAGCGGTAGCTGGACGGGGTGGGGATGCAGCGTCCGTTCAGGCAGAGGTTAGTGAAATGCTTGCAGATGTCGATGGTCTGATTCAAAGTGGCGGTTCCTGGAAAGCACAGAGACGGCATCAGGTAGAGGGTTACAGCTCCCTCGATTGGCCCCGGGAAGCCGGGTCGGTAAGTCCACGCACCGTGACGGGTCAGTGATGCTCCTGGGCCCCGGACAGCCATGGGGCTGCAGACACAAACTCAGGTGCCTCAGAAATCTCTGCAGGCTGCTGCGTGTCCCTACCTACCCCACTGACACGCAGGAGGTGGCCCAGCCTCTCAGAAGCAAGGTGGGAATCGATATTTATTGACATCCAGTGCATTTTCACAGGCTTTAGCCCTTAGCGAGGAGCTATACGGGGGGTGCACATGAACGGGGTGCCCAAGGCGGTGGGAAAAACACTTATGTTTTGGGGAGGCAGAGAGTGAGGCGGTGACGTGAAAGCTTCATTCCTATTTGGTAATTAGAAAGATATTCTGTACCGGAGCCAGCCCCGGCTCCCTTGCTCTGCCAGCAGACGCTGTTTGATCTGCTTCTGGGCTCAGCATCCTGCACAGCATTAGTGTCACATCCCATCGCTCCACCCCACCACCCCCGTGTCAAAATAAACCTCAGAGCTGGCGAAGAGCACGGGCGCTTTGCTCATGTGTGCACGGCTCGGGGGAAGCGGGCCGGAGCGCAGGCAGACACGCTGCCCGTGTTCTGAGACAGGCGGCCAAATTGGGTCAGCACAGTAAGAAAGTAATTTTAATTACCAATGCTTGAACTTCCTGGGCCCATTCCAGGCAGACCTGGGATCCCGCCTTGTCCATTTGCCCCATTTGGTCCGATGCCTCCAGGCCCGTTGAGTCCCGGCCCAACACCATTGGGCCCGAATCCAGGAATTCCTGGAAAGCTCCCAGGGAACCCTGGCACGACTGGGAGTCCTTCGATGCAAAGCCTGCGGTACTCATCTGAAACAAAACAGCTGCCTTAGTGCTTTTCCAAGAGTTCCTGAATCCCCCTCCTGCCTCTGCCAGAGTGCAAAGAACAGCGGGATGGAGATGTACCGGCAGGGAGCAAAGAGGGTGGGTGCTGGTGGGAACAGGGCAGATGGGCGAGGAGGGCTTTAACACCCTCTACGCCGGAGCAGATGATGAGACACAGCTTGCCGGGGTTTTTGGCAACAGCTTCTCGGGGTACGTGGGACACCTGGCACCATGGGCTGCCTTCCTGCAGGAAAGGACGGGACGCAGGAGGGGGCCAGACACTGTGAAGCTCTGCCCTGCTCAGAGCTGGTGATGAAAGAAGAGAGGCAGAGAGATATATCTACAGTGCTGTCCCTCCTCAAGGCCTCCTGCGGCCTGGGCTCACCCTCATTTGGCCCCCCGGTTCAGTGATGGTGGGAGCCAACAAGAGCTGGAGGGGTAGGAGGAAAGGGATAAATTCTTGCCTTGGCTGAACTCATCTGGCTCAACTTCAGATGAGACCCAGGCAGGAGAGCCAGCATCCCCATGTGACCTTTCTCTGGGTGTTATGTTGACGATTCTCCACGTCAAGCCTGGGGTACCACTAGGGCCGTCAGAGCCACGAGTTGGCCCAGCAGCAGGTGGAGGTCCTTTGTGTTGCACTCACCAGACCCCCGGACAGGGCACATCTCTGGAGTCTGGCCAATGGCCCAGCAACGCCCCGAGTCACAGCAGCACTGCATCTTGGTGTACTGGCCAGGGAGGTCCCCTGCACAGCGGCCCCCGATCAGAGCAGAGAAACACGTCCCAATCCGCTGGTCTGCAGAGAGGGAGAGGAGAAGGAGACACATTCACCGTGTGTTATCACCATACTCTCGGTCAGGTCCTGAGTGGCCGTTCCCAATGGTGTCTCCTCTGGCTGTCCAGTATCCCAATGTGACCTCCTGTTCTGCCTCATCCTCCCAGATCATGAGGTTCTCCAGCACCTCCATCTGGAGCACAACAAGGCTGTAGGGTCAGGCTTTATTCCCCAGTATTAGATCTCGCATTCCCATTTAGGCTCCTAAATACTAGAAGCAGCCTGACCGAGAGCCAGAGACAGGCAGTAGGTGGGCAACACCTCTCCAGTGGATTCTCCACTGGTTGCTGCCTTCCTTTCCCTGCAGGAAGGACAAGCTGACCCAGCAGATTCTGGCTGAATTCACCGAGCAGAAAACAGACGAGATCCCCCACCTCATCCCATGTCTCCTCACCTTCCCAAAGAAATGGGATTATTTACAGGTGTCTCCCTCCTCTCACTGGAGTTCCTGTGCTGATGAGAGACGTCAGGGACGGGTTCCCCCAGTGACCCAACACAGCAGCTGGGAGAGGAGCAGCCTGTGGGGAGGTGGTCCGCAGGAAACCACTGCGAACAATGACACTTCCACTACTGGGCAGCCTGACCAGCGGGGACAGATAAACTGCTCCGGACTAAATACATTATTCAACAAAATTGCATCCTGGGGCTGAGATCTCCATTTTTCAAGTTCCTCCTCTGATGTTAGAGTCTGTCTTGCTTATTTGGATTACATTTGCGACCAAGGGTTGGCCATCAGTGCCAATGTAACAGTACAACAGGCCCTTGAACTTGGTCACGTGGAACGGCAGTGTCTTCTCCTCTCTTGGGCTGTTGGACCCAGCATGATACATTTTCCTCTAAGTTTTGCCACTAAAAACACTTCCCCATGATAAAAACAACCCAGTGCCGCCTGCTACTATTTTGAGGGTTCCCAGACAGTGAGCGGGCATTCCCCAGCCAGTCCCACTCTAGGCTGAAGCCTTGGCTGCAACACTCCTTCCCCTTGTTCTCACTTGCTGCAGGACAGAGCTGGCAGAGCGAGGTGGTCAGCCATCTCCTACAGCGCTTTGGTCAGGCTGGGCATCCAGGTACAACCCTTCCAGCGTTAGTCCGTGATCCCCAATGCTGTGCCAAGCAAGGTCCTTTCCACAGCCACTGCTGTCTAGTGCGGTCCTGCACACCTCAGGCCTGGCAAGGACCTGCCTCTCCTTCCCATGGCAAATGTCCCACGTCCCAGGCTTCCCATGAGGAAACATTCCCTGCCAGGTCCCAGTGGTCCCAGCACCTCTCGCTACACAAATGGAGCTGTTCCCGATTCCACATCCTTCCAGCCTGATCGCTCCCGTTCCCAGTGGATGCCTCTTTCAGGTCATGGGTTAGTTCCCACAGCCCGGACTGAGCTGGGAGGAGAACGAGCCCTGGATGGTGGTCAAAGTCCACGAGCCCGGCCAAAGCCACAGACACCAAGCCTGGCAGCGGTGTTTGGTGTGTGTGGCTTCTGGACAAGGCCCAGGAGACTGAGGGTCTTTCACATGTCTAGCAGGCTCCGTCTGGCACCAAGTCCTCCAGGAAAACCTGGAATCTTCCACTCATTCATCTCCCGTCCTTGTTTCTCAAGTAAATTAATGAGGGGGAAAGTCTGGTCTGATTTGTCATCGGTGCCTCTAGACTGACATTAGCCAGCAGGCTGACACTTTCCTGAAATATAATTGAAATTAATTGCATGGAGCTGTTTGATCTGTGGGCTGTGGTTACATTTCTTCTCTAATCACAGCTGAGTGACTTGCAGAGGACAGTGACCCCATTTAAAGCCAGGGTGACTAAACCAGCAGGTCTTTTCCCCGATACATCCTTTTCCGCCATTCTGCAGCGCTGGGTTTAGCACGAACTATTCCCTTTGACGAAACTTTCTGCACCGAAGAGACTCGCAGAGAGAAAGACAGGCTCGGAGAAGGGAAACTGGAGCGAGGGGATGGAATGCAACACTGGATTAGCTCCTGATCCTAAGGAAGCAGGGTGTTTGGGTCATCCCTAGCCTTTGATGTCTGGCAAGTGGCAAGGGCGCAAGGGCAATGCCCACGTCTTTGCAGGCTTCAGCGGCTTCTGGAGTGTAGAAGAGGGCCGTGTCTCCACAGCACACCGACAGGTTGATGTTACATGGCACCTCGTATTCCAGAAAGCAGCTGCTCTCTGAAGAAGCCAGGGCACGATCGTGAGGACGTTTGGAAAAGCCGCAGCTCAAACCCTCGATGGGAGTTTAGCTCAGTGAGGGTTTAGCGCTGAGCTTAAATGATCTTCTAGATTTGAGGGTGGTGGTGTGGAATAAACCCTTTGGGCATCAGAGAGGAGGGATCCCACCCGGCTCCTTCTGTTCTTCTGTGGGATGCTTGCTGTCCCAAAAGCTGTGAGACACGGTGACAGCCAGCCAGTTAATGGGCAAGGAGTGATTTGGAGAACGCAACCTCCTTCCCCACAGCCAGCCATGTGCTGACAAGTTTGACAAGGTAGGGAGGTCACAGCAGTTTGTGTAAGGGAGGGAACGGTCCAGCCCTTGTTCATCTGGACAAACGTTTATTAAATTCAGCTGTCTTTGCTGCAGTTTGGTAATAATCTCTCTCAGAAATGAAGGTCAGAACTAATTGAAAACTCATCTGGAGCTGCCTTGGGCAGAGAGAGGGGTGGATGGAAAGAACAGTGGGTCCCTGCAGTCCCTCTGTGACCTCCTGCAGGACCACCCACACGCTGGAGGTAGGAGCACAAAGCCGTTGTGGTTTGGTTCTGCTTTCCTCCGCAGCTGTTAAGGGAACAGGTTTTGCACAATAACCTCAGTAAATCAGAAATGCTGCAGGCGAGAAAGGAGGTAAAATTCCACATGAGATTAGGCAGCGCGCAGAGGTGGGGGATAGAGCCACCGGTCTGCCTGAGGTCTCTGATTCAGAGAGGCTGGGGATGCTTTAGGAGGTCCTGCCAGGAACCGTAGAGCGGGATATTGAGTTGGGCCTCCCTTATGAGAGTGGGAAAGGAGTGACCCTGAGCTGGTCCTTCCTGCGTCCTGTTCTGGGCTCCCCAGTTCAAGAAAGACAGGGAACTGCTGGAGAGGGTCCAGCAAAGGGCTACGAAGATGATGAGGGGATTGGAATATCTCTCATATGAGGAAAGGCTGAGGGACTTGGGGCTTTTCAGTCTGGAGAAGAGAAGACTGAGGGGGCATCTTATCAATACTTATCAATCCTTAACGGGAGGGTGCCAGGGGGATGGGAACAGTCTTTTCTCAGTGGTGCCCAGCGACAGGACAAGGGGTAATGGGCACAAGCTTGAACACAGGAAGTTCCATCTTAACACGAGGAGGAACTTCTTTACTTTGAGGGTAGTGGAGCACTGGAACAGGCTGCCCAGAGAGGCGGGGGAGTCTCCCACTCTGGAGACATTCCAAACCCACCGGGACGCCGTCCTGTGCAACCTGTTGTAGGTGACCCTGCTCTGGTGGGGGGGTTGGACTAGATGATCTCCAGAGGTCCCTTCCAACCCTGACCATTCTGTGATTCTGTGCTGGGGTCTGGCAGAGTCTGCACCCATCTGCTGGGCCATGATGCCCTAAGGTGTGGGTCCTGGTGCCCAGGAGAGGCCCCACACCAGGAGCTGCACCCTCTGAGTGACCATCCAGCACGGCTGATCTCTATCTTCCCTTTCAATGTGGGCATCTAAGATCTGCTCTGCACCTACACGGGATTTTGACAGAGGAATGGAAAGTGTGGAGAGAACTTTAAAGGGTATTTCTCTCACTTTGTGACATGTACAGAAACTAAGAAGCTCAAGGGACCAAACCCAAACAAATTAGGGGCTGCAAAAGTCAGTTGGCTCTGACAACAAAGGACCTGAGAGTCCTGGAGTACTGCCTCCAGCTCTGGAGCCCCCAACATAGGAAAGACATGGACCTGTTGGAGCGGGGCCAGAGGAGGCTCCGGAGATGCTGGGAGGGCTGGAGCCCCTCTGCTGGGAGGACAGGCTGGGAGAGTTGGGGGGGTTCAGCCTGGAGAAGAGAAGACTCCGGGGAGACCTCAGAGCCCCTTCCAGTGCCTAAAGGGGCTCCAGGAGAGCTGGAGAGGGACATTTTACAAGGGCATGGAGTGATAGGAGGAGGGGGAATGCCTTCAAGCTGGAAAAGGGGAGATTTAGATGACATCTGAGGAAGAACTTCTTCCCTGTGCGGGCGGTGAGCCCCTGGGGCAGGTTGCCCCAAGAAGCTGTGGCTGCCCCATCCCTGGAGGTGTTCAAGGCCAGGTTGGACGGGGCTTGGAGCAACCTAGTCTAGTGAAGGTGGTACTAGATGATCTTCAAGGTCCCTTTCAACCTAAACCATCCTATGATTCTATGAGTTCAGACAGGAGTTGCGACACAGCAGCAAGTAGCCAAAGGTCTCCCACCCAACACATTCAATGGTGCTCAGTTTGCAAGGAAGAAGGGTGCAAAAGGAGCCTCGTACTGTGGTGAGGACACTCAGTCTAGCCCGACTGATGCCATCATATGTTCTCTGTTTCTGGAAAACTGACCAATTTCATTCTTGCCTGGGTAATATTAAGCTAGATGGTGGTGTCTGTCTCCTTGAAGAGTCACACCAGAACGAAGGCACAAAGCATCCCTCTGGGCACAGCTCCCACCAAACTGCAATAGCCATGGCGCACCGTGGCCACCAGCCCCGCAGGAGGGCTGCAGCGCGAACGGGGAAGCTCTGGGTGTTACTGCAGGACAGTTCCTTTGCTGGCAAGCGCTAGAATAAATTCACTCTTCTCCAAATTCACCTCCCAGTTCTAACTGTTACAAGGTTGAGGTATAAATGCATCCCTGAAACGGTCTGATAAAAAATGATCCTCTCTAGGGGGAAACGCTTCACAGTCCAGGTCCCCACATAGGTTCACACTGGAGTCTCAGCAACTACAGAGCCTTTCTACACCCTCCGGTCCCTGCAGACGTCCCGGCAGAGCTCTGCTTGGCACCATCCCCAGCTCCCTCGGTCCCTGTTGGGGTGTTCTGCTCAGGGTCCCTCCCCAGCTCCTTATCAACCTGTTTTGAGCCTACGACCCTCACACCACTTCCCTTTTGTCATTTCTTGCCCCCATAAATATTATCTGCTCGTATTTCCTTTTTCCTCTTTTTCTTTCCTCTCCTGGATAATGACCAAATGGGTAAAAAGGGTCCTCCGGGCAGATGAGGTCCTCAGTAACACTCTCACAACCTTCTCTGAGCCCAGGACTTTGCAACGCTAAGCAAGATCTGATCCTACCCGGAACTTTAGGCAGTAAATCTGCTGATGTTGCCCGAGGAGAGAGAAGACCCAAATCTCCCAGAGTTTTGCTGCACTACCAGGGAAAAAGAGCAAAGAAAGCAATGTGCAGGAGTGCTGACTCGCAGCGAACATGGTGTGCGTGTCTGGAAATGCATCTGAAAGGCCATTTTTCTCATTTGAAAATCATTCTTTTAAGCTCTTCTTGAAAAGCAACCCATTGTACCAAAAAAGAGAAAAAAAAAAAAAAAAAGCTCCCAGCCTGCTGGAGCAGATCCTTCTGCCGCCTGCAAAACACCGAGCCGGTCTTTTACAAGCATAAAATGAATGAAACTGTTATGAACACGTGTGGAACTGGATTCTTTCTGTCAAGCACAGGTGGCTGAATCATTCAATAAACGTTCGTTTCAAACTATGACGGACTTTCTCCAGCTACGCGGCTGTTTGCATTTCACTGAGGAAGGCAGTGAAAGCAGCTAATGAGATTTGGGATCAAGTCAAGCTCGGTGTCTTGCTGTTTCAGCTGCAAAACTCCAGGAGATTATTCAAATGCAATAAAAAGGTGTTTACTTTACTAAAAAGGGAGGGGAAAGGGATGGGAATATATCAAGGTTGCCACCATAAAGTCACCGCATAGGCAGTGCTGGTGCCCCGTGATGTATGAGACACCGCGGTCACTTCCAGTCTAAACACCTGAGAGGCGGCAGCGTGACAATCTCTTCCGCTCTCTCCTGACGCTGTTTGTGCTTTAAGGGCGGCCGCGTTATTTATTATTTTTCAATTTTACAAACTATTTATTTGATTTATTTCACAGGGTGTAAACTGTGAGCTTAAACTGCCACAAACTCTCCAAACGAGCAGTAAAACCCCCTCAGACGCTGGAAGCGGGGTTTGCAAAATCCGGATCCCGGGGCAACACCACCCCAATGGTAACTCTGCATTTTGCCAGAAAAAATATTGTCTGTCCCAAAACGTGACAGCAGGCGAGCAGCGCGTATTAGCTCAGGGAAATGGCTACAGCATGATGTATTGAGTTCAGACGCAGTCATAGTCCACTGCAGCTAACTAAGCTTTGGACTATTTTTAAATTTGGGCTTTCTAATTTTATTTAGTTTTCATTTCTTGAAGAAGGTTTCAAGGAAAGTGGAGAGATGTCCATATGACTCATCCGACAGCCGTCACACCCCTCCGGGCTTATGGCAGGCTCTGGGAAACAGGGTGGAAAAGAATTTCATTCTCATTAAAATCTATCAGATTCCCAAACAAGGTGACTCGTACGTTATACTTTACAACACTTTTCTTTCCGGAACTAGAACAGGATTAATTTTTACTCCGGGTTCTGTGGATATAAAAAATTTTGGATATTTTTTTTTTTTTTCTGTATGAATTTCCAGGACTTTCAAGAGAAAGCTGTACCTGCCATTTTCCATTGCGCTAACAACGATCTTTGCCTTTCCTGTTACAGTTGCTCTTTGCAAATCCTTGCATCCTCGCCTTTCTAAAGGCGAACGAACTTTCGGATCAGTGAGACAAACCCTGGGATTCATTTTCACTGAAGTAAGTGCCCCTGCTGAGAGCAAGTAAACAGAGCGCTGATCTATTTATCACAGAAACTGTTGTCTGTTACAAAGAGAAATGGACCATCAAATATTTACAAGGCTTGGAAAGGAATTTTGATGTGTTAAACATGCAAGATTCACTCCGGGCTCTGTAATCTGGAGGCAGGAGGAGCTCGTCAGTCCGGGGAAACTTGCCTGGAGTCAGGCGGGTTCTGGGAAGCTTTGAAATACAGTCACCTCGAGCCGAACTGAGCCGGGAAGGGGGGGGACAGGTACATCAGAGCCGGTGGAGCGGCACACACCAGCCCCACCAAGCCCTTCGTGCAGTCTGCAGGATGGGGATTGCAGGAGTGGTGATTTCCACGTGAGCCGGGGAGTCATTTTGTGGCCAGAATCGGGATGCTGTGGGAGGAAGGTGGGCTTCCCAGGTCATGCGCTTAGACGACAGCCTTGGAAAGCTGCAGGTCCAGCGCGGGGGCAGGAAGAGGGGTGTGCGGTGCCCCGGGCTGGGCTTGGGAAGCACCTCTACAGGGGGGTCCGGACAACTCGCTCCCGAAAGGCTGAGTTCAGCGAGATGAAGCCAATGGAGTCCACAGCCCTACTGATTATTAGCTTTGGGGCAGCAGAGGTTTATCGTGGCCCAAGCAGGAAGGAGGAGGAGATGATAAAAGACACCGTTTATTTGCATTGGTTATGCAAACACAGGGAGCAAATCTTTCCCCCCTTCACCTCTGCAAAGCAAGTGGATGAATGTCATGGTGGTGTTCCCCATCTCTGGGTCTCTCTGCAAAGGTCTGCAAACCTTCCCTGGGACTTACACCCTCCACAACCACACACTGTGCCTGCAGTTCAGTCCTAATGGAGGTACTGGTGTCTCCCTCCAGCTGACATCTAATGCAGGAGAAAAGGGGTAACGTCGGGGATTCTCCCACTCGCTGCTGCCGTTCTGCATGCAGGAGCACAAGGATCCTTCTTCAAACAGACCACCATCCCAGCCAGACACCTTCCACCCCAGTCCACCCCTTAGCCTCTCCAGCAACCCCCTGTCGAACACTTCAAGCGCTGAGGCGACTGCAGCCCAAGTTACGGAGACGGAGGAAGCCCTGGTCTGCAACAGCATCAAAACCTGTGCCCAGGACAGACCATGCTCGCCGTGGCACACGCAAGGACAGCAGTGGAAAAGAGCATTTTCCAGCCATTGCAGGAAATGTGCCCTTTGATTTGCAAATCTGGTGATCACCAGATAGTGACTTGCAAATCACCAGATTTGGGTTTCGGAGTGTGATCGCTCCCTGTATTTGGGATCCTGAGATCTCTTTAGCACCTTACCAATGCAGCGTGATCCATCAGGGCTGGTCATGAAACCACGAGGACACGTGCACACGTAGCTGCCCGCTGTGTTGGTGCACTCGCCGCCATCACACACGCCCGGGATTGCGCCACACTCATCCACATCTAGAAAAGAACAAACCAACAATGACTATGTTTCCCTGCAAACCATCTCCTTTCCCATCTGCAGCGTGGATCCAGGCCCAGAGCTGGGATCACAGAGGACGGTAGCTGCTGTTACGGGTTGTCGTGGGATGCTTGAGAGCATAAGTGGCCTCCCAGCAGCGGATCAGCACAGAAAACAAGAAAGAAGAGTCCCCCAGATAGTGGCTTCATGCGGTCCTCTGCTTATCTCTGCTGACAGCACAGGTCTTTGGGCAGGCTGATCTAAAACGTTGAGCTCCTCGGAGAACAAAGGAAGGTTCAGGAGAGAAACGCGTCTGTGCGGGTGCAGGACTGGCTGGACAGCAGGTCCCTCCGCGTGACTGAACGCGGGGATGCAACATCAGAGACAACATCATGGTTTGAAAGAGCACTGGGCTCCTGCATTATTCACCCCATTCCTCCACAGAGGAGAGACTTGCTTCGTTTTAAGACAAGTACATACAGGCAAAAATGCCTCCGTACTATCAGTCAGGGGGGTCCGGACATACCGCTCTACGGGTTCAGCCCCTCAATCAGCCGTCCCTATTTTAGCGTGAGCTGATTTGCATAGCAATGCCACGAGCGTGCCATAGGTTGAACTATTTCTCTCCTCACAGGGAAGATTGGTGAGACAGAGAGATACTTTGAGTCCTCGGAGAGATCACGCCTAATTATCCATGGCAATCAAAGCAACCCCATCGCCGTGAGCAAGCCCTGCCACACGCTGCTTCCCCAGCCGCCCGCCGCCATGTGCGCGGCCACATAACATACCAGGGAGGTGCACCTCGCTGCGTTTAAGAGCATGGAGAATAAGGACACTGCAACACGATTTCGTCAAAGCGCAACATCTGGACTCAGACATCAGAGGGACGGGACAGCGCCCAGATGTATGGTAATGACTGCAGAAGGGTTACAAAAGTACCGGAATTCTGAGGCAACCACCCCAGTGACGTAGCTCCTGCCATTTGAACTCATGATGGGCTCTACAAGCATCTGTCTAGTGAGGAGATACGGCAGACCCTCACCAAAATCCGCACGTGGAGACTAGCCCCATGGCCACGGTCCTGGATGCCCGAGTCTGGACCCCGAAACAGAGCATTTCTATTTGAAATCTCGCTCAGAGTTAGATTTTAATCCACGCTGGAAGAACCAAGTTGGAAAGACGAGACGCTATAGGGTTTGCTTGAGAACTGTAGAGTTCTCCAAACTTTCCAAGCCATTTTTATTGCAACCTTGAGAAAATTCTCGAGTTAATTATTTCTTTGGCTCATTTTATACCGAGTATTTAAAGAGCTTCATATCCTTGTGAAAGGTCTGGTTAACAACTGATGGGAAACCACACAGAAAGCCTGAAAGCTGCAGCTTAACGAAAGCCAAACTGTGACAGAAAAGGGTGAGAACAGAGCAGAAAATTCAACAAGTACCTATACAGATGGTACAGAGAGAGACAGCCTATAAATTCTGTGTGCAGCTATCACTTGGGATCTGAAACTTGAGAAACCAAAGGGAACAGAGTGGCAAATCAGTGATTTTGAAAATGGCAATCCATTTTCCACAAATTTTGACCAAAATTGTCAATATAATTAAATGTATAGGGCCCAGCCATGCTTGTGGGGCACCTGCCTCTAAGGACTTGTCTGAGATCAGAGTTGTAGAGGTTTTTTCTGCCAACCGAAATCTGTTTCAGAAGAGATGGAATTAGATACCACCTCTAATTAATCCACCCAAACCAGTCGGTTGGTGGTCATGGTTCAGGTGGTGGTAAAAGACAGAAGGAGTATTTGCCCTAGAGTTTTTACAGTGGCAAACAAAAATGTGTCTATGCAACTGGCAAAATAAATTATTTCTGTTAAGCTACTTTATTTATTGTATTTTAAATCTATCGTCCTGTTGTGAATGGATAAGGGGATTTTTATATGCAATTCAGACGCTGCCTGGGGCTGGCAGGAAAGTAATGAGAAGGAACTGGTCAAAGTCTGCTCCTTCGAGGGGGTTTTTCTGATGTGAACACTGTAACAGCCTCCCACAGCCTGATGGCATTAGCATGTGTGGAGGTTAGAGTTGCCGTAGGGCAAGAACTAATCTGCAAAAAAAAAGGCAGAACAGCACAGACCTCTCATCTGGGACCGGGAATGGAGGATGCTCCCTCTCTGGAGCCATTCCAAACCCGCCTGGACGCCGTCCTCTGCCACTGCTGGAGGTGCCCCTGCTCTGGTGGGGGTGGACTGGGGGAGCTCCAGAGGGCCCTTCCAACCCCCACCAGTCTGGGATGCTGTGAAGAGCTCATCTAGCAGAGTTCAGCGATGAAGGGAAGAAATCTGTGTTGGGAGCCAGAAGACCTGGCTGTGATGATGGATATGAGCCACAGTGAGAAACGGGCAAGAAATGTTGGTAAGGAATGGGTGTGGGCTACCCAGAGGGGTGGTGAGCTGTGTCCTGTCCAGGGTGAAATTGAGAAAAATTTGAGAGTTAGGAAGGGAATTGTGAGACCCCACCTGGAGTACTGCCTCCAGCTCTGGAGCCCCCAATATCAGAAGGACATGGACCTGTTGAAGCAGGTCCAGAGGAGGCCATGGAGATGCTGGGAGGGCTGGAGCACCTCTGCGGTGAGGACAGGCTGAGAGAGTTGGGAGCGTTCAGCCTGGAGAAGAGAAGGCTCCAGGGAGACCTCAGAGCCCCTTCCGGTCCCTAAAGGGGCTCCAGGAGAGCTGGGGAGGGACTCTGGATCAGGGAGGGGAGTGATGGGATGAGGGGTGATGGTTTTAAACTGGAAGAGGGGAGATTGAGATGAGATCTGAGGAAGCAATTCTTGCCTGTGCGGGTGGTGAGCCCCTGGGGCAGGTTGCCCCGAGAAGCTGTGGCTGCCCCATCCCTGGAGGGGTTCAAGGCCAGGTTGGACGGGGCTTGGAGCAACCTGGGCTGGTGGGAGGTGTCCCTGCCCAGGGCAGGGGGTGGCACTGGATCTTGAAGGTGCCTTCCAACCTACACCATTCTGTGATTCTAAATGTCTGACTGCAATCTCACAGTGCCATGCAGTGGCTAGCGATGCTAGTGCAGCCCTGAAGATGTATGGGAGAAACACTGAGCAGAAGCAGGTAGGTGATGTTACCTCTTAACCAGGATCATTCCTGGATGCCACGGCTCCGTACAGTCCCAGCTCTTACAACAGGGTGTTATCAAAATGGAGGGGTTCAGAGTCCCGGGGATGACTTGAGGCCTGGAAAAACCCACCTGACCCTAAGGGACTAGAAGGACTTTATTCAAGAAACTGTGAGGATGTGCCGGGATCATAGAAAAGAGACACACAAAGATGATGTTGAGAGCGCAGTGCAAAAAGGGAAGATGAAAACTGAAGCTTAGACATTATAAATTCAAAGCCGGAATGAAGCAGACAGATATTCACCAATGGTAAATAATCTTTGGCCTACACACCCAGGGATAGGGCTAGTTCTCCAAGGCTTGGGATGGATTCAATTCACCCAGCAATGTGAAAGGATTCCCTAGCGCAGGCACAAATCCAAGGGAGGACAAGGGGGCATGAAATCTGGCTGCACAGAGGTGACTCTCATGGAGTAAGCATTGTCCTCAATCCTCCAGACACGTCCTCACAAACTTCATCCTTCTCTCTAAAATTGGAAAGGCTGCCGGGAGCCTTCTGCCATTGCCTCCCAGGCACTGCGACCCCACTACGCCAGCCTTGGCTGCGGGCTGGGATTGCCACAGACATCTGACAATGACAGTTAATTCACATCACCACAAAGCCCCCACCTTGTTCTGAGGAAAACGAGGTATAAGAGAGTCTACGCTGTTAGACCTGTAGAGGAAAAGACTGCAGAAATCATCTGGGCAGTGGTGCGTGTTGAGCTGTGGCCAGATGTGTTAGGTGGTTACGGAGCAGGCATCTCCATCAGAATTTTTCTAGACGCCATTTACACTCAGCAGAAAGAGATAATCTCATCCAGGCAGTAATTCATCTCATCTGAAGGGAAATGTCTGAACAGAGCTGAAGAGTTGTGCCCTAACAGTGATGATTTTTCCCTGCAAAGTGAGACACGGCGACATTCATCCCACTCAGTTCGGCGATAGACACTGACATTCTATGGGTTTAAGTAAGATGAGCCGAGCTGCCTTTTGAAGGGAGACATATGGTACGGACAGAGCCCTCCCGTGGGTGCTTCATGTGGTCAAAGCAATAATGAGCTTCCACCTCTCCTCTTTGCCCACACAACCGGTAACAAACACAAGTATCCTCTGTTTTACTTTGGCTGCGACTCTGAGTCCTGAGGAATCAAGTGAAACCTCCATTTCAACACGCACAAAATTAAGCCCAAGTGCATAGGGCAGGTTTACACTCATATATCAAGAGGGGAAGAGTCATTCCTGTTTGCCTTCTTAGGAACTCTAAAACAAATCTTTCAGCTAGCCAGAGATTTCGGCCGCCTTTAGCAAGCAGCAGAGATATCACCTCTGTCCCTGCAGCGCTCCTTTAGCTCTTTGATGCTCAGAGCCCCTGCAAAAGATAGACAAGAGTCGAAACCTCGAAAGGCAGCAATGCAAATCTACAGAAAACACTTCCCCCACCTGGGCCCCTGCAGCGAAAGAGATTTTATCACTACAGCCTACCCTGTCATTTAATTACAGGTCTGCGTTTGGTTACAATTTGCAGAACACTGGAAGGGAAAGCGCTTTATGAAGCAAATGCTGGTCGTACTACTAGAAATAACAGCTTAAAACTTCTGCCTACCTCTCCTGAAGTTTGCTGTATCAGAGATCAGGAGCCCAGCTGACAGGCAGGCGTCTTATTAGATCAATACTTATGACATAGCATCAGTCATCCAAGAAAAAGCCTACGTGTTTGTGGGGGCAGCAACTACATTTCATTCTTAAGGAAAACCAGAGTTAATTCAAAAGGTTAAATCAAACTGCAACTTTCTCCCCCCTCCCCCTTCAAAATCCTAGCTCAGATGAGAGCAGTGTTAGCC